GGAGGGATGTCAGGGGATGCACCTGGTGAGTGGCAAACCCCAGGGTCCTGTGTCTGCTGAAGCCCTGCCCACCTGGTGAAAACTGTGGGAGGAATTGCAGCTAGAGGTGACAGGACTTGAACTTGGGAGCTGGGGATAGGGGAGAAGGAATGGGGTGCAGGCTCAAGAGAAATTGAAGAGGCAGAATCGGGGGGATTGGGTAATAGATGAGGTGGGTGGCATGGGGTGTTTGACAGAACTCTCTCCTGAGGTCACACAGGGCTGGATTCCATGTCAACTGCATGGTCTTCAGCGATTATCTTTGTTCTTTGAGGCTCAGTTGCCTCGTCTGTAGAACGGGGACAGGGAGGCTGTGAGGATCTGGAAGGATGGGCTCAGTGCCTGGCACTTGCTCTCCATGGGGTAGAGCCTTGACCCCAGACATTCAGGGTATGTGGTGTGTGGTGGGGGAGCTGAGATCAGGTCAAGGCCTCTTCACAGGCAGCCCCTGCTGCTACCCCACAGCCTGTGGCAGGAGCTCTGGACAGGGCTACGAGGGGCCTAGCAGGCATAGTGCGCAGACCCGCTGATGACTTTGGACCATGACCTCCCTTTCCTGGCCTCGGTGTCCTGCCTAAGACAGGACTAGGGCAGACCCCTCGGGGGTCATCAAGAGGATGCAGGGGGATGGCCCCGGCTGTGCTGCCCTGGGCAACAGATACTCATGCGCCTTATCAGCGAGCTTTAGTACCTGGGTGGATGTTCTCCTTGGCTTGGGCTCATGCCAAGTGATCAGGAGGCCATGATTTGGGCAGCTCCCTCCCCAGCTGGCCACCTGGACCCACTGTCATCAGCCTGAGGGGCAGATGGCCCCCCAGAGAGCCAGAGCCTCCCTGCTCTCTACCGAGGATCCTCTTCCCTGCAGTAGTTCCTCTGCAGCTGCTGGGCTGTGGCCAGATGCTGTTGGGGATCTGAGGGTGGCATTGCCAGTGTCCTTGTTGTAGGAGAGCAGGCCATGGAGAAGCCTGCCTGCCTGCTCCCAGTTCTTCCAACCCTGTACCCTGGCATGTCCAGGGCCTGAGGGGCCCAGGGAGGCCCAGAATGGGCAGCAGTGCTCCCCACATATGTGCCCAGGAGCAGGGTGTCAGTGAGTTCTTTTGGCCTGGTGTCCCCAAGGTCGGTAGCACCCTGCCAGCCTGCAAGCCTTGGACTAGGTCTCTGGGCCGCTCCTGCTGAGTCTTGGGTCTTCTGGGACCTAATCCTGTCACCTCTCCCTGACCAGGCCTCTTCCCCTGTGGTGTATGAGCAGCTTTGGACCAGAGCAGGAAGTGAGTCTCTAAACCTTTTTGGTGTCAGAAACTACCCCATTTGCTCCCTCACTCTCTCTTAAGTCTTGATGGTGTATTAACCCAGACTGCCATAACAAAATACTCTGAACTAAGTGACTTAAACAAGCATCCATGAAGGAGGACCCAAAAAGCCCCGGAATTTATTTGTAAAAAATTTGTTTGTTTATTTATTTATTTTTGAGTCGGAGTCTCACTCTGTCACCCAGGCTGGAGTGCAGTGGCACACTCTCACAGCTACTGCAGCCTCGACCTGCTGGACAGGTGATACTTCTACCTCAGCCTTCCAAGTAGCTGGAACTACAGGCACACACCACCATGCCTAGCTGATTTTTTTATTTATTGTAGAGATGAGGTCTCGCCAAGTTGCCCAGACTGGTCTCTAACCTGTGGAGTTAGGCAATCCTCTCACCTGGGCCTCCCAGCGTGCGGGATTTAGGCATGAGTCACCGCGCCTGGCCTCAAATGATAATGGAACAAATCTAATGAATTTTTTAGAAAGCTATATCTACCTTTGTTGTCACTGATATGCAAAGCCAATGGACATTCTTTTTTTTTTTTGAGTCGAAGTCTTACTCTGTCGCCAGGCTGGAGTGCAATGGCACATTCACGGCCACCGCAGTCTCAACCTGCTGGGCTCAGGCCATCCTTCCACCTCAACCTTCCAAGTACAGGCGCGTGCTACTATGCCTGGCTTGCTTTTTGATTTATTGTAGAGACAAGGTCTCACCAAGTTGCCAAGGATGGTCTCGAACCCCTGGACTCAGGCAGTCCTCTTGCCTCAGCCTCCCAGCGTGCGGGATTATAGGCGTGAGCCACCACACCCGGCCCTATTTATTCTTGCATGTTTAAACTTCAGTCACCTTCAGAATGCTCTCATTTGATTAAATACACCTATAAAGACACTTTTTCCACAGCTCAAAACAGATTTTGACCTTGTCAGTGTTGATGCCTTTTAGTACTTTTGCTTCCTTTGTTTCCCCTCTCCCACAAATAGTAAAATGTTTCTGCATGAGGACTTTTTTCGTTCAGGGAAACAAAATAGTCACTTGGGGTGAGATCAGGTGAATAGGGAAGGTGGGCACCAAGATCATGTTGTTTTTGGTTAAAAACTGCTGAACCCTCGGCACGGTGTAGGCTGGTACGTTGTCACGGTAGAAGGACCATTCACCTGTGTGTCACAACTCAGGATGTGTCTTCCGCAAATCGTGACGCAGCCTTCTCAAAACTTCGGATTAAAAATACCTGTGGGTTCCTAGAAAACGTAACTAGTGGGAGAAGCCTGCTACAAGGGGCCCACCCTCCAAAAGATAATTCCAGTTTTTTGGGTTCCTCCAGGTCTAGAGGTTAAAGGTCTGAGAGCAAGGCTTCAACCAGTCTGCTTTCTGCTGAAGTTCAAGGTTCCTGTCTTCCTGGCTTGTAGACAGCCTCCTTCTCGTGGCCTCTCCTCGGTGCATGTGCCGGAGAGAGAATGCACAAGCTCTTTGGTGACACTTATAAGGACACTTGTCTTAGGATCAGGGCCCACCCTTGTGACCTCATTTATCCTGACTACTTTCATGAAGTCTCCACCTCCAAACATAACCACACCGGGACTGGGGTTAGGACCTCACCATGTGACTCTAAGGGGTACAGACAGTCAGTCCCTAGCAGTTGGACAGCATCTCAGGTCTGTCAAGGGCCTGCTGTGCGCCGTCATTGTTAACTCCTTGCTACAGCCCTGCAAGGTGGGAAATACCATTGGCCCTTTCTTTTTCTTTTTTCTTTTAGATTCAGGGGGTACACACGCATATTTGTTACACGGACGTATTGTGTAGTGGTGGGATTGCGTCTCAGGTGGCCCATTTGCCAGATAGTGAACATTGTGCCTCGTAGGTAGTTTCTGAACCCTAACCTCCCTCCCGCCTTCTCCCTTATTGGTGTCCCCAGTGTCTATTATTTCCAGCCTTGTGACCGTTTAGCTCCTACATACGAGTGAGAACATGTAGTATTTGTTTTTCTTTCTGAATCAGTTCACTTAGGATGATCTCCGGCTCTATCCATGTTGCTGCAAAGGACATGATTTCGTTCTTTTTGTGGCTGTTACTCCATTTCATACACCAGTAGAGGGAGGCTCCAAGAGACAAGGTTGCCTGCTAGACTGGCAAAGCGTAGGAGCAGTGGCGCTGGGCCCTGAACCCCTAGTTGGAGTTAGCCCTGTAACCCGTCGGTCCTCTTTGGCTTTGGGGACATCTGCGGGTGGGCTGGCCTTGATCCATCCTGTTTTGCATGCAGTCTTGGGGGCTCCTGAACACCTGCAGCGACTGGGGGCCCTGCTTGGGTCGGGGTTCCCTGATGCCAGCCTGGGGAGGGGTGTTGTCCTGGAGGAGGCCCTGGAAGTCTGGCCTTAGCGGTGAGGCTGAAGTTCAAATGGGAAAAGCATGAGACTCCAGCATTCCTGCGCCCACAGGGTAGGTCCCTGGTTCCCTCCTTCCTGTGGCCTGTTTCAGTCTCATTTATTCATGAGCCCCTGGAACATTCGCGAACACCTGTTTTGTGCATAGCGCTGGGTGCTGGGGACACAGCTGTGAACAAGGCAGCCTGGCAACCCCTGTCCCCCCACTGGGAGGCAGGTGACCGACCCATAGACAGGACAGTGGTAAATGCAACACCCATGGGGAGGGACCTCACACAGCAGAGGCTTGGGGATGCTTCCTGGGAAAATCAGAGGCCAGCAGGCAAGTTTGGGAGTGGGGGAGATGCTTACGCAAAGACCTGAGGGGGGAACAGCGTGGGAGCGGGAGGGTTGTCATCGAGGTGGGGCATGACAGGCTGAGTTGAGGGGCACACAGGACCTGACCCCTGAAGGTCAGCCTTGAGAAAGAGCTTTTAAAACAATCATTCCAGCTGCTTGGGAGGCTAAGGCAGGGGGTTGCTTGAGCCCAGGAGTTCAAGGCCAGCCTGGACAACATAGTGAGACCTGGTGTCTTAAAAAATAAAAAACATTACTTCAGGCTTTTGTCAAAGCAGAATGCTTTCTGAGAGAGCTGACTGGTCAGAGGCAGATCAGGGTGGCATGAACTATGGGAGAGGGGCGAAGCGTGGCTTTTATTAGTTTTTAAGCAGCTATGGCTTGACACTGTGTGAGAGTGAGGAAGAGAGCAACCTTGGGTAGGCTGTCCAATCTGAGGGATCCTTGCAGCCACTGCTCTGGTGATGCTTGCACAGGGCTCGGGCTGGGCCTGGCTCCAAAGCTGCTCCAAAGCCCAGGGAGAAGAGGGGCAGGAAGGGACCCTAGTGACAACAGGTTCAGGTCAGAGTCACCGATGGATCTGTCTGGCACAGGGGAATCCCCTGGCAGCCCCGGGGGCAGGTGTCCTGACCAGACCAGGGCATTGAAGGCAAAAACCACTGAAACATGCAGTTCATACTGAGGTCGGGGCCTTGTACAGCATTGGTGGTCCCTGTGTGACAGGCACCAGGCAGTGCCTCGCATTGATGGCCAGATCTGACTGAGAAAGAGGCCCTGGGCAAAGCAGGGGGGAGTAGGGGCAGCCTCGTCCCTGGGACATGTAGTTCATGTGGGAGGGAGAATTGTGACAGTAAGTGACATTTGTCAAGCACTGGGCTCTGCCACGTGTTGCAGTAGCCTGCTGGCACAATGACAGCTAGACTGAGAGGCAAAGGAATGGTCAGACAGGGTGGGAGGTCCTGTGCCTGATGACATGCAGTTTAGATTCCAGGACACTGGCTGCTGCTGTTACACAGCTGGACAGGGTGCTGTGGCTCTGCTCTCAGGGTTGTGTCATTTGGACCATGGTCCCAGCAGGTGGATTACAGTGGTGTTGGGGTCGTTTGGATTCCAAGGGCCCCAGGGAGGTTTGGATCAGCCCCCTGTCAGGCAGGCACCGTGATGGGGTGTGCAAGCTTCCAGTGCCATTTAGCTCAACTGCAATGTCCCTGTGGAGCCAAGATAAGCTCCAGGCATATTTCACATCCTTGCTGAGGTCACCTGGAGCAGTGGGGGAAGTGGGAGGGTGATGTGGAAAAGTCCACTGGCAAGTGTGTCAGGGTGACCCTCATGCTGGGGTAGGAGCCTGTGTCCCCTGCAGGCGGCCAGTCGGGAGCACAGGGCAGGCCTAGGGGCAACACTAGCAGCGATGCCCACTCATGTCAGAGTAAGAGGGGCACTGAGGAAGGCTGGACTCTGGCCACAGGCACCTGCCCCAGGGGCTATGCCCAGGCTCAGGGAGATGACTGGCTGCCCTTCGCCACCCTGCGCAGTGCAAGTGGGCACGGACACACTCTCGCACTCACACGTGGTCACAGCACAGGCACACACAGCATACATGCTCATACACACGCTGGTACACACACAAGCCACATACACTCATACACATTCACACCACATGCACAAATACCACACATGCTCCTACACATACTTGTACACATGCAAACCACACACACCACATACCACATGTGCTCGCACACACATACAGTCCCCCACACTCTCTGCTCCTGAAACTTGAGTCCCACAGATACAACTTTTTGGTGGCAGATCCTTCTGGGAACCCTGTTTCCTGAGAGTCGCCCTTTACCTCCCTCTGCCAGCCCCAGCCCCCTCCATTCAGGAGCATCAGACCTGATGACTGCTTTGGGCCATAGAGGGCAAGGGCCCTGCCTGTGCGTGCCCTGAGGAGCAGCTGTGTTCTCAGACAGCTTTGGGCCTCTTTCTAGGACCTCACTGAGCGCCAGGCTGTTCCTCCCACTGGCAGATGGGACAGAGGCTGATAACCCAGATGACCGTGGCCATGCTGGGCCCTTTCTAGACAGCTCTCCCCCCTCTGCCTGGGGCCCAGGACCCAGGCCCCCACTGTGGGGGTCCCTCTTCAGCCTCTCCTGCCTCCTGCCCTCTCCACCCTGTTGGGCTTGGGGTGGATTTTTCCTCAAGTATGTGTATGCTGGAGGTGGGAGGAGGTCATGTACCTGCGCGCGCACGCAGGTACATGACTCAGGGAGCCGGGTAAGACATAGCATGGCTGTCCAGGCCCTGCAGGGTCGCAGTGCCTGTGGATGTGTGGCAGGAGTACACAGTGGACTCATGCGCAGAGGACTCCTTGTGGACACGTGGGGACAGAATGGCTGGGGAGGGGCTGTGGCATGTAGGGGGTGCCTGGCTCATCTCCAAGCCCGCCCTGACCTGGCCTCCCCTGCTCTGTATCCGCTCAGGCTACATCCAGAAGATCAAGTCAGGAGAGGAGGACTTCGAGTCTCTGGCCTCACAGTTCAGCGACTGCAGCTCCGCCAAGGCCAGAGGAGACCTGGGTGCCTTCAGCAGAGGTAGGCAGGGAGTAGGCGCCGCACCCAGGCCAGAGCCCCCGACAGTGGAGGCTGGGAGGGCCGGGTGGGGGTGGGCTCTGCTGTTCAGGCCTTCGGGTCCACCAGGTGGCAGCACAGGCCGTTCTCAGACTTCAGAGGCTGCGCTGCTGGGGAGGGCAGGACCGGGGCCTCCGAGGACAGACGAGGGCGTAGAGAGCCTCCTCCCGGCCTTGCTCAGGGGTTGGTCTGCGTGTCTGTGCATACACGTCCTCGCTGCGGGCCCACCAGCATGGGTTCGTCCTGCCATTTGCCTCTCCCCCTGCTGGGGGCTTAAGGTCGGGGTCTAGGGCATGTCCCCCAGAACCCCCCGCCCTTTTCAGGCAGTGGGGAAATGGGGTGGGGAGGGCCCAGGCCTCCCCCTCTTTCCTCAGTCCTGGGGATCGACACACATCAGGGAGAGGCTGGGATGGGTTGGGGTGCAGGCAGCTGATGGGCGGGAGCCAGCACAGGGCTAGGGCTGCCCCCTGCCCCAGGACGCCAGTGGGACAGATGATGGGGCAGGGCCAGGCACCAGCCCAGGGAGACTAGTGCAGCACCACAGCGCGCCTGAACACACAGCAGCAGCCACAGCCGTGGCTCTGCCTTCCATCCCGTATACTGTCCTCAGCTTCCCGGGGCCTCTGTGATGGCCTGAGCCCCCAGCTGGGCTGCAGCTCAGCGCTGCAATAAACTTGATGATGGAGGAGCGTGAGTGAGTGTGAGGCTGGCGCAGGCAGGCCCCATCTGTCGCCTCTGCCGCCCGGCCTGACCCCCGCTGCCCTCTCGGTTCCCAGGTCAGATGCAGAAGCCGTTCGAAGACGCCTCATTTGCACTGCGGACGGGGGAGATGAGTGGGCCCGTGTTCACGGATTCCGGCATCCATATCATCCTGCGCACGGAGTGAGGGTGTGGGTGGCCAGGCCTGGCCTGTGGTGTGGAGAGCTGGGCCCGCAGGCTCCCCCACTGTCGCTGGCCAGTGGGTACCCTCCCTGCTACTGTCACAGTATTTATTGTTCCCAAAATGGGTGGGAGGGGGCCCTTCCAGAATGGGGGCCCTGGGGTCCCTGTTCCCTGCCCACCCCCAGTTGGGGCTGTCCCTGCCAGACTCCCCCGTAGGAATTGACTTCAGAAGGGCAGTGGGGGTTGGGAGGCTCCTGGACCTGAGGGGGCTGTCCCGAAGAGAAGACTTCATCAGAGGAGCTGTCCCCAGAGCCCCCCAGTCCTGGAGGCAGGCGGGAGGGCCCCGAGTTGTTTCTAGTCCCGCCACGTTGCTCTGTCCTGTTGCAAAAAGCAAGTGCTTGGCCGGCCTGCTGTGACCCTCTTGGGCAGTGCAGCACCCTTTGCACCTGATTAAACCCAGAACCACTGCTCTGCTCTCCTGTGTCTCATTTCCCTCTGAGGGGAAGCTGGGGCTGTGTCACAGGGATCATGCCTCTCCCATCCCGTATGGTTCAGTGTCTTGGTGGCACTTGCTCTCCAAGAAGCCTCCCCTCATTTTGGGCCTGGGGAGTCCCCTGAGCCTAACTCGGGACAGGGCCCCGCCCACCTGCAGCAGGTGTTTGCTCAGGGTGCCACACTCTGGGTCCTGTTCAGGCTGCAGGGGAGTCTGGCTGAGGCCCCCACCCTACACACAGACCTTGTGCCACTTGGAGCCAGTCACGCCCAGCACCCTCATGCCTGCTTCCCCGCTGCTGAAAGCAATTCCAGAAGGTTGTTCTTGCGTCCAGCCACAGACCCAGCACCCTCTGCAGATGCTGTTACCATGGCAACAGGGCCCTCGGGGGCTGGAGAGGAGGGGACTCCTGGGAGCAACAGCGCCTCTGGGACAGGGATCCCACAGGAGGGGGCTGGGAGATACAGCTTGCAGTGGCCAGTGTGGAACCTGGGGAAGGTGGGGGGCTGTGGGTGTGGCCTGCCTCAGGGGTTGTGAGTCTGTTGGATGGAGGAGTGGTCACACCACCTGCTCTGCCTGCCCTCCACTCTATGGGGACCAGCCCAGATTGCAAGGGTGTCTGGCTGGCAGGGCTTGAGGACCTGAGCAAATAGAGCCCACCCCAGGGAAACCCCCGCCCCGGACCGAGTCTCTAATCAAGGCCCGAGTCTCATAAGCAGTCACCTGAGCCTCCCATCTGGCTGGCTTCTGGAGCCATCGCTCACTGCGCCTGCTGCCTGCCTGCCAGAGCGTTTGTCATTAGGAAGGCTTAATGGGTTTCCTCTCAGCTCTGGAGAGCTGGGGAGAGCCGGCTGGCTGCCTGCACCTCCAGGCAGAACATTCTTTTCTGTCGCCTAGGGGCCACGTGAGGCAGCAGTCCCGCCATTTGCAGGACAGCTGTGTGGGTGGGGCAGTGATTGAATCCTCCTGCTACAGTGGACCCCGGGAAAGATCAGGAATGAGCTTCTGGGGACAGGGTTGCTGAGCTCTGCTCCAAGGTGAAGAGTGAGCTCTGTATCCTGACTTGACATCCAGGGCCAGGGAGGGTTGTGTGGGCCACGCCTCCCCCGTGTGTGTGTGTGTGTGTGTGTGTGTGTGTGTGTGTGT